TAGATCCCTTGAACTTGGATTTTTAATGCTAATGAATAAAACATTTTTATAAAGAATAAATGTCTGTAAAAATATCTTTAAAGAATATCTTTGAAAAACTTATCAAATGAAATGTGAGACACAAATCGCTTGTAAGACGTTGTAAATCAAATGAAACTTACAGTCTGTCTCATATACGTTAAATATTTATTATTTATTGAGACTAATGATAAGGTTTGTATTGAATGTTTCTTTCCTTAACAGATCGAAACAGAAATCCATCTTAGAACTCATAAATCTATTAAAAAAATCATATTTTTCGTCAAAACTAAGATCCCTGAAATCATGGAGAAAAGTAGATAAAATCATTGCTACAGCTACTCTGCACTAACATTATTTCTGCAAACTCTGTTTAGTATGGAAAGTTGACAAGTAGCCTCCTTGATCAGATAAGAGGTACCATTTGATGAAATGCATTTAATGCTCATATTAAATGAGTCGAATGGTCACTTGCCATCACAAGGAAAGATGATGAAGACAGACGAAGCAAACTTATAGCTGGACTCAAAGTGTTACAACAGTCATCTTCTCTGAGCTACTATATAAGAAGATTTAAAGCTCAAGAAAGACAATATATAGACAAATTTGTACAAAAATATACTCTCTATAAATCTATTCTTTCTTGTAAACATTCATTGTTTTATATGGGTTGTATAACATCTAAGTAAGAAGAACACAACATTTGTATGACCTTCATAACCATTGTCACAAGGTTGAGCCTAGAGAGCCTTGTCCGTAAAAGAAAACTTGTTTTGAGCCTGAAGAAGCTTGACTATAAAAGAATATTTTGTTGTTAAGCCTAGAAAGACTTTTTGCTAAAAGAAGACTTAGGTAATTATTTGAAGAGACAAGTCAAAGAATACTTAGTATTGAGCCAAAAGTGGTTTGTTGAAAGAATACTTGTATATTTGTTTAAAGATAATAGAACTCAATCTAGTTGGATTGAAAACTAGGCATAATCTCAATAGTTGAGGCAAACTAGTATGAAAATACCCAGTTTTCCATCTGGTTGTTCTTCATACTCCATTTGACTAGCATTATTACTTCACTATAAAAAAACATTTGAGTTTTTTATATACATTATTCAACCACTCTTCTAATGTTTATCTTTTCTCCACAAACGTCAATGACATTATTAGGTTTGTTACTTTACACTTTTATTCTTATATAATATAAATAGTCACTAAAATATTAACAAAAATTTTTAAGTATTTTCTTATAGTAATTATTGTAGTGTTTAAATTAAATAATATTTTTTAAAAATTTAAGCCTCAAATAAAGGTGATCAATGATACTAATTCAACTACCTTCGTACTTTTTGATAGTGGAAGAACAACGAAAGATTTTTTAGAAGAATCAAAAAAAGGTTTACATAATATATTTATTTAATGTAAATTCTATATTATAATATATTTATTTAATGTAAAATTTATGTTACATAATATACTTAGTATGATCATTATAGTCCAATAAGGAAAAGTAAGGGTAAGCTTATGAAAAAATCAGCATAAACAACTTACAACATGTACTTAGCTCAAGTATAACATCAACTAAAATCATCCACCAATGATTTATAGGAATAGCTAAGTAAAATTAATCAACAATTGATCATAATAGCATTGACTCATAATAGATGATAATCAACTAGTTAACTCTAAACACAACTTAAAAACTCCAAACACAACTTAAAAACTCTAAACATAATCGAGCAATAGCTAACAATTAAGCAATTGTCAAACAACTAATAGCAACTACTAAAAAATTGAACAAAGAATAATTCATCACGCATATCAACTAATGGAAATCTCCTGCGACTAATATGAGAAATCTAAGTGGTTTGACTCTACTAAATCACAACGTCTGATATAAAACCATAAACAACTAGTTATTAAACTAGAAACAATGACTAGCACGGTGCCTAGAATTGATTTCTCAAGTTTTGTCACTTAAACTAGGAAAGTCTAGTACTAATTTCATAAAAGAACAACTTGGGTGTAAGCCTACCATAGTCTTAGCATGCATAATTATGTCTCTTACGGGATTAATCTGTCAACTACCCTCCAAATACTACTCACATTTTCGGTAATCAACTAAGGATTTAATCATCGACTTCATACCTTACTCATTTGGTCACTTTATACATATATGACTCGACCTTGTCCCAAACAATTCCACGTAAAACCTAGACAAAACAACTTGAAATTTCATTCAAGAGCCAACGAATCACTAAAGGTTTTCTCAACTTTGGCCTCTTTAAGCACCACAACTTGTAACCTATAAACAGGATATTTTAATTTCTAAAATACTTTCCTCTTCTCTAGTTTTCACATATCTCAATTGAGACATGTATCACTTCACCACGTGCCTAAAAACTTATCAACTTCAAACAATATATGTCTTACAACTTAATCAACTTCAATCATCAAATTACAACTTAGCAACTTAAAACATCTCTTCACATCATCCTAGATCAATGCATAATAATTTAAAGTCACACAACATCATATGGCATGTAAGAAAGCATTACAACTCTTATGTTCTCAACACTTAGACAATAATCAACAAAATTTTCGTCCAACAAACCACGTTTGATGCCATTCTTCTCGTGTTTGGCATCATTGAGGTAGAAAACCTCTAAGTCACCCACGCTCAATGTTAAACCACCTATGCCTGACTTGGATGAAGCAAAGAGCCTCTAAGTCGATTTTTCCGGGCATAGATAACCCTACGCACAATGCCATTTAGACAGAGAGCCTTTACTTGACTCATGGCCGACACCACTAAACTTGCACCTAATGTTGTCCAAACAAAGAGTCATTGTCTTGGTCACACGCGACGTCTCTCCATCTACACCTAACATCACCAAGTTAGAGAGTTCCTCGAGAAATCATGCCCAATGTCTCTCATCCCATGCATGCTGTGACTAAATTAGAGACATTCTCACTGACCCATGTCAAGCACTACCAATTTTGTGCCCGATATGATCAAGGCAAAGAGTCTTGATCACGTCATTTACTCCAAGAGTAAGCGTACTTAGATTTATTTTGGTCAATAACTCATGTTTCATATTAAATTTCAACAATTTAACCGTTAAAATAAAATATTTTAATGTATAGATCAACTCAACAAAGTTTTAAAAATTATATATTTAATACTCTTTTTCATTAATTCAAATTGATTAATAATCATAAAAATATTTTATATATTGATTTGAATTAATGAAATAAAATATCAAATATATGTGAAAGAAGGAAGACTACAAGATGCAACATTAACTTCCCCATTACTTTTTCTCATTTTTTTAGAGGAAGTTTGTTAGAATTGAACCACAAAAAAAAACTCATTTCCTTCAATTCATCTTTTTCAAACACATTCAATTTTTTTTATTTTTATATACTTATCTATGCTCATATTTTCCTTCTATTTATCTTTATCAAAAAAAAAATTACACTTCCTTGTACTTCTCATCCATACTCCCTTTACAAATTTTTATATTAGAATCAATTTCATTTTTTAAAACAACGATCATTCGAATCAATTTTTAATTTAATTAAAACTTATAACATTAAATCCATCTAAATAAAAATTATAAAATACCATTGATGTTCAAATCTAAAAAAGTCATAAACACAATAGTGTAAAAAAAAGTCACATGAATAATGAGAAAATAATATAAAATTAATTTTTTTAAAAAAATAATTTATTCTCACCATGTTATAACATTACTAATTTGACTTTACATTCAATAAGTTTAATATAAATAAAATTTATGAAACTAAGTTTTAATTCAAAAAGACTAAATTAAACTAAATTTAAAATATAGATGACCAAAAATATTTTAAAAAATAAAAAACTAAAATATTAAAAAATACATGACTAAAAATATAATTTAATCTTTATAAAATAAGGTGAAGTAGGAGTGGACAAAAAAAACTGAACTGATAAAAAATTGAACTGAACTGTTTTAAACAAAATCGAACTGAACTGAATTATTGAAAAGTCAACTGTACTGAACAATAAAACTGAACTAAATTATAAAAATTGAATTATTTTTATAAAAGAATAAAAATTAAATGTGTCTAACATGTTGTCTTAATGAATTAATTCGATAGTCTAATAACCAAAACTTTAAGGAAAAAAATGATAAAAAAGTTGTATCAATTTTATCGAACCTAACAAATCAATTGAGCTATTTTAGACTACTTATTTTTAGGCTTAAAATTCACTAAGTTTGTTTGACTTAATTTTATTTTTTTTTTCTTTGAAAAATTTAAATAAAATGAAAAATAAAGTAAAGTTGGCAAATATGTCCTATTTTGATAGATCAATGAGTCAAAATTGTTCAATTCAAAATATCATAACAGTTCAGTGCAGTATAAATTGCAATTCAATTCAAGTTTTTATAGTATAGTTAAGTTCAGTTCAATGACACAAAAAAATAGTTCAGTTCAGTTCGTCTGAACTAATATTTAATTTAGTTCAATTCATGAGAACTACTTTTAAATTCAATATAATTTTTATAAGTTCAGTTCATTTTAATCACCCCTAAGGTGAAGTATGGAACTATGATATTTGCTTAAACATGCTCTTAATGATAAGCTAAAACATCATTTAATTATCTTATGACAACCTATTTGGATACTCTTCTATTAAAATTTATGAACAAGAAACAGAAAATAAATTCTTCCAATAAATTATAATTAACTAAACAAGTTATAACAAAAAAAAAAACAAAAAAACAAAACATTTAGGAGAAACTAATCCGATAATTTCTACAAATTAATTTGTAGATAAACAAAAAATTATTTCATTTTTCCTTCGATAATCCCTACCATTGCTTCCTTCCAAACGATACAGACAACCAGACCGGGTCAGGAAGAACATTAGCAAGTTATCCCCACCCCAAGTGATCCTTCATCAGCTGTAGTTTCAAACTCAATTCAACGCGAGCCAACAGCATCTAATGTTGAAATATGTGTCTAACATCTTATTTTTGGAATATATATTCACCACAAAGTATAGCAATGCAATAGAGGCAGCATAGCATATAAGAAGCATAATACAAAACAAAACAATAAATCATCCAGAAACATGTAAAAAATAAATAGCCGCACCACCATTTCAGCTTGTTCTTACCAACTCAGTATACGATTAACAATGGTTCAATAAACACCATCAATTTCCTAAATACAACCTTGAAGAAATTAACAGGTTTTCCCTCCTTTTTCCTTGTTCCTATCTTGCTTTGTGGTGTGACAGACAAGTGCAGTATCGATGAGATATGCTTGTCTGCAAAAGCTGATATCCTCGGTCGACGCATGCCATGAATAAAAGTCAGGCAAGCAACTATAGAACCCATCCAATGAGCTCCTTTATCTACTAAAATCTTCAAGATATTGGGTGCCGCCTCCTGCCAATTTTCCAAGCCATAAGTCTTGTGATATAATATGAGGAAATTAATCATCTAAATTAAATACATAGCTCAATCATATTCTAGGTTTAAATAAATAGATGCTACAAAACAATTATATTTATAATGTCATATCTAATCTCAGTTCCCGTCGATAATAAGATTATGCCACATATCATCAGGCATCAAAAGACCAAGAGAAATTGTTTTTAAGGGGGGATTCAAATCCAATAAGTAGAGTATGTGGACATTTAAGTCAAGGAAGTTATACAAAAGCAACAGCAATATCCAAGTAACACTAACGTTATTCATCCACAAAAGATGATATTCAGGAACCAAAAAGTCAAAAACATTTTGTATTACAGTAAGGTGATATCATGACCGTTTCAACTTTAAAAATCAATTTTGACCAAGACACCTGATCAAATACTAGACTGTTGCTTACAAAGTTTTCTCAAAGCGTTGTTGATCCATAGAAGATGATAGACTAGTCAAGATTCAGGAACCAAAAAGTCAAAAACATTTTGTATTGCAGTAAGGTGATATCATGACAGTTTGAACTTCAAAAATCAATTTTGACCAAGACAGTTGATCAAGTACTTGACTGTTGCTTACAAAGTTTTCTCAAAGTACCTCTTTGGACGGCTTCGATCTTCTTCATAATCCATCACTCCACCAGATTCAGAGCAGATCTCCTCATGGCCTCTGAAGTCGATGTCGGCCTGCTTACAGTGTGTAACTTCTGCCACGAAGTAAGTAAGACACGTCGACCAATATATTCAACCATAAAGAACAGCAGGCAATTATATGTTTTATAATTAAGGAAGATGCTTCTATATTATCTGACACAACTCCAAATAACCTAGGATTATAGCCCTCAAGTTGAATAATGCACACAGGAGCGACATATGGCTAAAAACTTAAAAATGTTATTTTGATAAAAATGTTGCCATAAGCAGTAGCATAAAAATTACAAGAGACAAGATATATTAGATAAAATGGAAGTCTCATCTTAAGAAATCTAAGGTGTGAAGAAAACCCATAGAAGAACAATAATAAAGAGGGTGGACCAGATAGAAGAGCTAAAGAATAATCACATAGATTAAGGAATGCCAAGGAAAATTATCAGCTAAAATACTAACAGATTTAGAGGTATTGAAATAAAATATGACAGTAAACTATGCCAGTGTGTAATACGTATGGCAAGTCCCAACCAATGTTCCTTGATTACCAAAAAAGAATAAGGGGACCTGTTTGAGCAACGGAATGTCCCGCACTTTATGTCGTTACTACAAAGAAATGGGAGCTATTTTTCTACTATAATTTAAGTTTTCCTCTTACATAACCTCCATTAGCCAAATTCCCTCAACCCATATAGCCAAAACTTAGAGGGTTAGAGAAACTGACCCATCCAATCAAATTTCATTAAATCACCAGATTGATAACAGATTTCCTCGTAATTTGGGACATTCCATTTTGGTTCAAAACATAATCTTCAAATAATGTCTTGTCCACCGCAATAACTTTCCAAAATGATTTAACCAATCAAATCCACTATAATCCTAATGTTTTTCCACACCAGGATTTTGATAAAAGAATGAACAATTTTTTCGTTTTTAGTTGAACAAAAATTTTGTGTACTCATTCTATTACAAAATTTAACAGATAATGGTTGATTACATTCAAAGACAAATAAAGCCAAAAGAAAACAGCCTACAAATGGCCCCAAATATGCGATGGCAATCAACAGCATAAAAACAAGCATGCAGCACGATTGCATTCATAACTTCTAGAGACAGAGTTATAGTTGGATTAAAGCAGGAAAGCTATTCAAAAGCTTTCAATAGTAGTTTTCTTAGATAATGATCATGATAGTTTTGGTCTACAATGTTAAGCTAGCGGTGGCTTAGCAAGGTTCTGTTATGGCAATGATTAAGATAAAATATGTATCATGCATCATTTTCGTAGACCTAAGAGGGAAGAAAATATGAATTTGGCTTCCTCTCATGCAAAACAAAAAGATCACATTAATAGGCTCAGATTCCACTCCAAACCAAAGAATGTTAACCTCAGAATGATAGGATAAAACGATGCATGGATGAACAAGAAACATTGCACATCAAAGCATTCAAAGTCCTCGGATAGAATTTATAAACATTAAGTTGTCAATTTGCATAATATTCATTTAAAGTAGGCATATGGTATTAGGATGAGAATTCCAGCTTGTGTATACATCCAACAGATAATCAAACATCAATCCCGAAATACACAGATACATGAAAGGATAAATGAAATTTTAAACATTCAGTACAAGAATGGAATGAGATGCAAGCATTTTTTATCAAACATTTTCTCAACTGTATTTAAGAAAAAAGAAATATTGAGAAAAAGGAAGATATAAAAATATATCCAACCCACCTTGAAAATGGACTTCTTTACTTCTTCCACCTTTTCTTCCACATCCTTCCTGTGCTTCTTGTCAATTTCACTCATAGCGTCAGCCCATTTTATCTTCTCTTGAATTGAAACAAGCAGATTTTCTGATGTAGACAACCTATGTTTGCCAGTCATGAATTAAATTTTATTATTTTGAAGAGACACACCATACATCACATCCCAAAAATTTAGCACTGTATTGACATACCAATTTGAGACATTCTGAATCAAAGAAACAAGATAAACAGAACTTCCGAACATAAATTTAAGCATCAAAAAGCTATTAAAAAATACAAAATTGTGACATGCTGACAATATGAAGTTAAAACCAATTTCAACTGAGATTGGATGATAAAGAGACTTAAATATAGGCTGTTTTCTAAAGTGGCCGTAGCCCAAAAATTCAAAGCTTTGAAGTATTGAAGCAAATTACACTGATATTCCAGTTGTCCAGTATCACAATCATGTTTACCAACAAACATGGAAACTTCACATCATTTTTCCAGGCATCAGTAATTGGTTTACTTAAAATATCAGACATATGTCTGAAAATTAGTCGAGCCTCTATTTGGAAAAGATAGATTACCAGCTAGAGAGAGTCTGTATCATATTCCCCAGTTGATCAGGCCTCAAGTCCCTACCTGCTGCAAATTGGACCTGAAATCACTCTCAAAGATCAGGTAAACTCCTAATACTCATCAAATGGAAAAAAAGAAACCGGTAAAAAAGACAACTAAAAAAAAAAATGAGCTAGGACCTCAAAGCATCGTCGCAACTGATCGAGCTTTCCACGGACTATTCCCTGATGAGAGCAATAAAATTTAGAATATGTGTCTGTCATTCATGAAATATTATTTCCAAGTCACCAAATTATTAATTTGACTACCCAACATCCTCTGGAAAAAGACAAGATACAAAATAATTTAAAAGGATAATAGCAAAAGGATGGCTGACAGAATAAGATAGAGGCCAAGTACCCTAAAGCACCATAAATATATCTATCACAAAATTAATATATTATTTATAACACATTTTATCATTACAAAATATGAACATTAATAAATTGATAGAGAACTGAATGAAAATGTGAAAGAACAAAAAACCTAATTATGTCAATATCTACAGACTACAGGTGCTAATTATTAAACAGGGACCAATCACATAACAATTACAGTACTTAGTTCAATGCTCCAGTTTGTTATAAGAACCAGACTTTGTTGCCAGAATCAGTTTCTGTCAATGTTTTAAAAACCGGTTCGGACCGGCCGGTCGGACCGGTTAAATTGGAAACCGGCAGTCCAGCTGGTCCGAGCCTTGAGTTGGATCAATTATGCATCGACCTGTTTTAAACCAGAGTGAACCGGTCAACTTTTCGATTCAACCAGTGAACCAGTGGGTCAAACCAGTTCAATCACAAAAAAAATTTATTTTTTCTAAGGGACCACAAACCACAAAAATAACAATAGGAATTGAATCCTGTTAATGAAAGAACAAAAAGTCTTATCAAACATAACAATGACTACTTATTCTAATATATTTGTTTGTAATATATACAACTTACATAACTTTTATAGTATATTATTAATTTTAAATTATATATTTAATAATATAATATCTATGTAGATATTACATATATTATTTTGTGATATCAATTGCAAGTATATTATATATGTACATATTATTTATATTTTTAATTTGTATTAATACTTAGTTTAACATGTAATTTTTTATGTATTTCTTTATACAAAATAAAAAAAAAAAAGAATTTTAAATAAGATGGAAATTAAAATTTAAAATAGGATATGAATTTATTCAAATTTATAAGTATAAAATATATTTAACATAAATATTTTTAAAAAAAATTAATAAAAACTGAGTCACGCGATTCAATTAGTGACCTACCGGTTCAACCTTTGATCCACTGATCCAGTAACTTAATCGATTTGATGACTGGTCCGGTTTTTAAAACAATGGTTTCTGTTGACGGTATAAGTCACAGACTTTATAAGGAATTCATCTATTTTCTGGGTAGTTTCCATTGGAAAGATTTAATGTTAATACTAGCCTCTTACTTCTCTTCCAATGTGTTCTTTTATTGCAATAATAACAATATCATAATAATGATACTGTAAGTGCAGAATTTTAGCAGTGAAACACATTAAATGCTCTCTAGAAAGGAATGATGCCTACCGCATACATGCATTCATTAATAAGAAAATCTTCAAGTTCACGGACATTTGTCACATCTAACTCCTGCATCAGTTGGTCATAGGGTAGAACCTGAAAACAATTGAATTGTAAAAGTTGAATGCCAAAGTCAAAACTCAAAAAGACAAGGACAAACACCCAAAAACAGTTAAAAATTTGAAGAAATAAAGTTTTGGGTGTAAATCAACCAGTTAAGCTATACAAAAGTACATCACACTATTCAAAATGATGAAGTGGACGAATCTATCCAACAGAAATTCAAGTAAGAGTTGAACCTTAAGACAACCCTGGGCAAAACACCATAGAGAGATCATAAACAAAACTTAATCACATAATGGTTCTTGGAGCAAAGAGGCATCATATTGCAAAATGCATCAAAGCAAATGCACAATACTGAAACAACCTACCAAGAAAGGGGCTGCTAGTAGTTAAACCACAAATATTTAATGAGAAAGCATAATCTAAACAGCTATGACTAGAAGCAGGTTATAGGCATAACAATTCAGGTCTTTGTACCACCCTTTAGCCATGAAGACAATTCATCCTTCACACGAAGTCCAAACTAAAACAAGTAATTGAGACATGCCTAAGAAATAGAAATCAACTTCCACTTATAGCAACACTTGTACCAATAAAAAAAAAGCAAGTCACCTGGACTGGAATAGACCAGATGCTGGTGACTACAAATTAAAATGGATCAGTAATAACTGACAATCACCACGACAAGCAAAAACAGAAAAACAAGATTTGCCAATAACTCTGAATTTATAGGTAATACCTTGTATGTCTCAGCCAGCGTAAGAACCGTTAGTTGCTTAAGCTTGAGGATCTGATCAGGTATCAATTGTGGAAGACGGTCAGCATTACCTGTAAGCCACTTAAGCCTTTTAATAAACATCATTATGTTAATTTTATTTACATACTCAGACTCAAAAGAAAATAAAAAATAAAAAAAAACAATTCATGAAATGAAGATAAATTTACGAATTTCCCTAATGATGCACTTATAAGGGTTCAAAACTGGCAGGATATAATTGTTTGCGATAACAAACTGAAAAATATGCCTCTACAGTGACATCCGTAACTTTATAAGTCCACATATTGACAATGGCAATGAGAGGCATTATGGATGTCAAGGTTTCAAAAAATGGTCTGCAACCACAGTTTCGGCCACACTGCCAAGTTTTTGGGATCTCTGCGACAGTAATTGCAGCCAAATTTGTCTGCAATCTCCCACAATATAAACGATCATGACGAAACAACAACTGCAACCACAATTTCTCTCTCATACTTTAAGAGGAAATTTAAGTTATAAAAATTGATTGGAAAATCAATGAAGTGGACTTAATTACTCCGTAGTTCATCATACTTGTACACCCTCTTCCTCATTACCTTTCTCACAGAGATTACAACTCTCTCATGATGTCAAACAAGGAAAACACCCGCTATAAAATATGCAGGGAGAAAAATTAAAAATAGAAAAGACAAAGGCGAATCCATATGCTTACTCTTGTAATCGCTCCATGTTCCATGTGCAAACAATCGAAGCACATCAAGGTAAGCAGAATTCTCAGTTGCCTCAAGCTGCAAGATATCACGAGTCAAACAATTGCAGCAAACATATAGAACTAGTTCACAAAACAAATCAACAAAAACAGCGTCCCTGTGTTAAAAAAAACCCACTTCTTATATTCCCCCAGAAATTAATTTCACATCCGAACGAGCCTTGACAAAAACAACCCATTGAAAAGATATAATTAAAAAAATAAAAAATAAAAATAATAACCACCACAAAACATTATCTTTTCACAGCAACTAAAATACACTACTGGACTTATTCATAATCACACAATGGCAAACACGGTAAAATAATTATTAAAAAAGTTAATTATGAAAATCATACTTTTCCAATTCCCTGTACAGTACACAAGCTCTCTCCTACATGGTAAACAGATCAATTCGAACACAAAAATTGGAGAAATCAGAAAAGAAAAGAAAAAACGGGGGAACGAAGAAATTTAACGCGGAGAGAGGAACCTGCAGAAGATTGGGAAGAGCGAGAATCTCAGAGAAAGCAAAGAGCGAAGGGTGAGAGGTGGCTTCGACGAGGACGGAGGCGAGTGCGGCGGCGTCGGAGGCGGCGGAGGCTCGCTTGACGAAGTGGTCGATGAGTTCCGATTGCTTCTGCTCGATGTCCATCGTCAAATCTAGGGTTTCGGAAAGGGGAAAACCGTTGGATTCGATTGAAGAACAAATGAAGGGTTTTAGGATTAGGGTTCGGTTGAGGATTTGAAGAATTTCTAATTTATAGTGTTTGAAGGACAGTGAGAGAGCTTTGCCTCAGACTGATGAAGGGTCGCAGAAGATAAACAGGTTCTTATATACTACCATGCCAGTTTTTAAAGAAAGAATAATAAAATATAAAAAAAAATAATAAATAAATTACATTGCATGTGGAATCCATTAATATTAATTTAGGTTAGATTAGATCACATTCAATATTTTTTCTCTTGATATTGATCGAATATTTTTATTAATAAAATTATACTATATATATGTGTGGAAAATTTTTCACCTATTTTTAAGTTTTTCCAATTTTTTATTAAAAAACTATAGATGCAGTTTTGGGATTAATTATTAAACTAGTTTTATTTCTTGCAAAGTAACTACAAAAAAAACATTCTGTATTTTCGTGAAAAAACAGAAAAATAATATTTTTAATGGCATTTTTATTATTTTACTATTTATGATTTTGAACAAAAAAATAATATTTTTTAATGACATTTTTATTATTTTACTATTTATGATTTTGACAAGTTGAGTGGGAAGGATGCGAAGGATTAGATAGTTAGAGACATGTGTTCAATCTTCGATTATTTTTATAATTTTTTTTACTTTTATAAAAAAAAATAATAGCTTTTAAAAGTTATTAAAAATAAAATAAATATAAAAATTGTGAACATAAACAGATAATTTCATTTATTACTAGTATAGATTAAAATTATTTTATTATATACCTTTAATAAATAAGACTAATTTAAAAACAAGCTTTAATTTAATTTAAATTTAATATAATAATCATTAGTATTTTAGACATATGCTTGAATAAAATCTAATAAGTATTTCTTATTATTATAATGAGATATTTTATTTATGCGATGCACCGGGTAAACAAAATAAGTAAATGTAAAGATTGATTTATTTATTAATTAATTTTTTAAATAGTATGTATACTTAATTTAAGATTTTAGATAAATAAAAAATTATTTTTAACTTTTTGAATCTAATCATGAGTTATTAGACACAACCTGTATCTAACAAGTGAAATGATACTCCAATTAAATCTAAATAAAAAGCATTTCTTTTGTATTGCATATGTAATATAAATTTATTTTAATAAATAATACTTGAAGTTAAATGTTGAAAATTGCAATAAAAAAATTTAACTATAATCTTTGTCCTAAACTTTTATTTTTAGCAAGTTTTATCATCAAATAAATTTTTTTCATGAAATAAAGTTTTGATGATTTATATCATCTCATCAATTATCTATTAAAATATTAATAAAGTACTAATATAATATGTTTAACTTTTATAATAAATTTCTTGTGAGTAGTATGGATTTTATTAAAATAAAAAAATGGTTATAAATTATAAATTAAGTAAGTTTTATGTTTCAATGAAATTTATCTTAAACTTTAAGATTATAATGATTTATAACTTTGTGACATGTCACATCAATACTATGTTAATATTTTGACAAATAATTAATAGAAGAATATGATTTGCCTAAAAACTTACTTAATTGTGTATTTAAAAAAGGAATATTTCATAATTTTAAAAATTAATATTAGATAATATTTTATAATTTAAAAAATATTTTTTAATATTTAATAATTAAGAGATGGGAGAGACATAAAAGATATATAATTGAAATAAAAAGAAAAAAAATATGAAAATTTTCAAATTTTTACTTTTTTGAGAAAATTTAGAATTTTGTATTTTAAAAATTTTCATAAATACTTAAATTTTAAATTTTTTTGTAAATTTTTCATCCAAATAAAGCATTTCATCTCAAAATATTTGAAATTTTTCAAAAATAAAATAAATTACATCATTTAATTTTCTCATCTAAATATACATAAAATTCTTCAACAAATAAAAATTAGTAGACACAAATGCAATTAAACCTAAAAATAATTAATATAAAACTATCTACTTTTGTACATACACTAAACTTTTTGCTCGATGTATTATTTTTTGGCATCATTCATACACATAGCAGAAGGAAAAAAATATTGTCCATTTATCATAGATAAAAATATAAGCTACAAAGAATAATATTAGATAATTGTACTTTGTATCTCAAACTTTAATATTTCAATGAAATTTGTCCCAAACTTTGATATTATAATGATTTATGGCTTTGGTACATGTCACAACAATACTATGTTAATATATTGACAAATAATTAATTAGAGGACATGATTTGCTTAAAAAGTTACTTAATTGCATATTTGAAAGAGGAATTTTAAAGATCTAAAGAATTTAAAATTCTTAAAATTTGAATTACTTTGACTTCAATTTTCATCATTTTTAAAACGTTTGTTTGAATATGATAACTTAATTTTCATCACGGATAAAATTGACTTTAAATATATTTGTATAATATATATATATATATATTGATATTTTAAGATTAAATTTTATAAAGATAAATATTA